GCCGTTCCCTCGTTCCTTCTGATGACACCCTCCCGCACACTTACGTATCTACCCTCTACAGTGGCCTCCCTGCCACCCACCATCAACGCCTAGACACAAGGCCGTCTCTAAAGAATGAAGTTGTCATTTGCAGGGAAATGAGGGGAACTAGACATGACCATGTTAAGTGAAATAAATCAGGTTCAGCGAGACAAATATAGACATATACATAACACGAATGTAAATGTGGACCTGCTTGGGGAGGAAGGGGGAGGGGAAGACGGAAACAGGATGATGAGGTGAAAAATATCAAGGTACATTATCTCTCCATGTGAAGATGGCATAACGAAATCCACTAAAAACTTAAAATAGGGTGGGCAGGGGGTGTGGGGAAAAGAAAAAGCAATAGAGGATATGAATTTGATCAAAGTACATTATATGCATGTATGGAAATACCACAGTGAAACCCCTTTGTGCAATTAATACATACTAATAAAAATAGATTAATTAAAAAAAAAAGAAGGTATAGTCTCTAAGGCGACTCTCCCCAGGTTAGGAGAAAAACCAAAGGAGGCTCACCAATAGCAAAGGAAAGAGGAGGAAGTATAAACAACTCATAAGGGCTGAGTGTGTTGGCACACAACTTTAATCCCAGCTACTTGGGAGGCAGAGATAGGAGGGGATTGGTTCAAGGTCTTTCCCCTAAAAAGAAGTTAGCAATACCCTATCTTAAACAAAAACTAAAAGCATAAGGGCTGGAGCCCAGACCAGTGGCTCACACCTGTAATTCTAGCTACTTGGGAAGCAGAGATTGGGAAGACAGAGGTTCGAAACCAGCCCAGGAAGAAAGTTTGCAAGATGCCATCTCAACCAATAAAGGCTGGGTGTATAGGACTGGCGGAGTGGCTCAAGCAGCAGAGCACTGGCCTAGCAAGCACGAGACCCGGAGTTCAAACTCCAGTGCTGCTCCAAAAAACAAAACAAAACAAAAGCTGGGTGTGGTAGTGTGCACAGTCATCCTAGTTACACCAGAAGCATAAATAGGAGGATGATATTCCACGCTGTCAAAAGTGTAAATAGGAGAATCACAGTCTAGGCTGGCCCAGGCAGACACAGACCCATTAGGAAAATAACTAGAACCAAAAGGGCTGGGGCCTGGGTCAAGTGGTAAAGCACGTAAGTCCCTACGTTCAATCCCCAGCACTGCAAACAAACCCAAGCAATGCTAATATAAGCTGGGGAATGGCCCAGGACCTTGGGTAGCCACTACAGATCATGTTTCCATGTACTTTAACGTGGGAAATGTCCCCAGCAGAGTATAAAGGAACTAGTAGATACCTAGACACAACATGTTCCCAGTTTTGTAAAACTAGTTAGGTGTATGATACATGCAGGGAAAAAAGAGAAAGAAGGCCACTGAAAGTCACCAAGTGGCTCTCTTATTGTGAGATTAGAAGCAATTTTTAAATTTCTTACTCTCTACAAATTTTGAAATTTTGCCTTAAAACACAATCAACAGAATAATTAAATTTCTTTAATGGAATCCTAAACATTGGTTAAGTTCTAGGCTTGTTGTCCCCTCAAAATTCTTTCAAAATGTCACCTGACCTCTGCTTGAACCCCTCCAGCAATGGGGAACTCACTCCCCCCTGAGATCTTTTCCTGACCACTTCTTCCTCACAAGAAGTAGAAATCTGGACCCCTGTAGCTTCCCCCCACTGGCCATAGCCCTTCCTTCTGCAACAACAGGGAACAAGGCTGCTTTGCAGGCTCCTGACAACAGAGATCCCAAGGTGGGGTCTAGGCTATAAATACCGCCCCCCCCCCCACATGCATACATGCACACACCTGCCTACCAAGGACTTGATGGCTGTCATCCTTTCACATCCTTGCTTGTTTTCCCTGGGAACAATCCAGGCAGTGATGTCTTCAAATTTAAGTTTAAGTCTATATCTCATTACCTCTTTCAAGGGCATACCCCCTGCTAGTCAGTCAGGCCCTTGGAGACTATAACATGCATCCTCCCATCAATTCTTTAGATCAACCCTGTGACACAGGAGGTAATATCATGACTGCCTTACAGATGAAGAAACTGAGGCACAGAGAAGCCAAGCCACTTTCAAGGCCACTTAATGATCTGTGATGGAGCTATGGTGAAACCAGCACCCAGTCCAGAGCCTGGTGTGGTCAATGCACAAATCTGTTAACAGAAGAATAAGTGCACTCAGTTCTAAGGCCTCTGCCCTTAGGGCAGTGGTTCTATTGCAGAATTCCGCATGCCTCTATTCACTTCTGCCCTCCTCCCTCACCTGTCCTGCCACCTGAATGTGTCCATGAATGGCCCCAGCAGGATTAACCCTGAATACCTGTTGCCTGAGGCTGAGGCCCAGCTTTGACAGCCATGTGGAGAGGCTCAGAGGCTGTACTTGGGTCTGTGGCACTGTGGCCAGAGCCCTGGGGACTGGGGGGTCCTGGCACTGGAGTGTCATTATGCCTGGGACACCATGGTGTCACCCACAGGGGGCTGGCCACAAGGTGCCTCCAGCCCCACCTCTACCACCCCCTGCTCTACTGTCTGAAGGACACTGGTGACCTACTGGGAATGGGAAGACCCCTTCTTATCCTATGTCACCCTCCAGGTGGGCACAAAAGTTTTGTCTCCTCAGCTACCCCCTGCCTGGCCTTTTCCCACACCCTCACACTAGCCATGGTCTTTGCCAAGAAGGGTTTAGGAATGACCACATGATCCTGCTGGGTCCTCAGCATCCACCCCCAGCCTGACAGGGACTCCACTCATTCATTCCCAGTCATGGTTGCAGGAAGGCAGGGACTTAGCCCCAGGCAGGGCCTCTCCATGGGGGTCAGCAAACCCTCAGATCCTTGAGCCTGGAGGGACCAGAGAGGTCCTTGGGGTCAAGCTCCTGTCCCAAGCCAGGGTAGTTCCTGGCTTCAAGTGCCACCATAGTCACTGCTGCACATCACCCCCACTCTGTACAAAAAGCTTTCCACAGCTCAGCCTTCACTCTGGTCATCCTCTTGGCCTTGACTGGGTAACTCCTACCAAACCTTCAAAACCATCCCACCCAAGAAGCCTTCCTGTGCCTTTCAAGCTGGAGGAGTTCTACTGCACTCTGAGCTAATCCCTGGCCTGACTCTCACTTGGCCCTCACTCACTCATGAGAATATTCCTTAGCACCTGCTCTGTGCTCCGTGCTCTGCACAAGGCACTGGCTGGTCAGTGCAGAAAGCCGGGGTGCATGACCTCTCACTGGCTGACTTTCACACATCACCCCTCACTGAGCCTCAGTTTCCTTATCTGGAAAGTGGGGAGGATTCACGCCACTGCTCAGCCTGGCCTCCAAGGCTTTTGTGAGGCCGGGTGCGATGTGAAAATACTCAGCAAACCACTGCTCATGGTGTTATTATTGTGACCTGACCCTTCTGTCCTCTGAGCTCAGATTTGAACACTCTATCGTTTGGGTCCCTTTTTCCCAGAGGGACTGATAGCCTGGGAGCTCTGGCCTCCAGTGGTTGACACCTGGATGAGCAATTAGGCAAGAGCACAATCTAGAGAGATGGGAAGAGTACAAGCCTTAAATAAAACCTGCCGTGGTCCTGCCATCAAGCACCATAGGCCACAGAACCCAGCAAGCCCTGCACAGGGGTAGGGAAGACGTGCCAGGCTCTTCTGAGGCAATAAGGCTGAGGGCCTATATGCCAAACACTTTGTAGCCATCAAGAAGCTAGTGGAAGCCATACATGGTGGTACACTCTTGTAATCCCAGCTGTACTGGAAGTGAAGACTAGAGGATCTCCACTTTGAAGCCAGTCCAGGCAAAGTTAGAGGCCCTACCTCAAAAACAAAAGAGGGCTGGGGGTGTGGCTCAAGAGATAGAACCCTTCCCTAGCATGCTCCAGGACTTTGGTTCGATTGGGAGTGGGGGTGGGAGGGGAAGACGGTTGGGAAGAGCCACCAGACAGTGTCTCCTTGGAGTAGGCAACAGGGCAGGAAATAAAATCCTGCAGTCTGTGGACAGTTCTAAACACCCAAGCCAAGCAGGAAAGAAGACTAAAGCTCATTGCAAAATTATGAAACGGGGGCAGTGATCATGAAGTTTGCAGGCTGTCAGTGCCACCTGGCTGGGGCTGGAGGGTTGGGGAGCAGGCTATAGTAGCAGAAAGGGCCAGGACTTGAGGGTCCTCCTTTCTCTTCGGAGTGCCTCATGATGTTCACTGAGGACTCTGTCCTTCGGGCTCAGGACTCTGATCTTCTTGGGCTTGTCAGACCCCAAAGGGCAGCTGGTCCCACTGCGAGAAACTTGAGTAGAGTCCCCTGGGCCTTAACCCAGCTCCGAGGCCCCTTGGGGGAGGGACAGGAAGGGAGGAGAGGGCAACAGAAGGCGCTAGATCTCCTCCCTCTTTGGCTCCTCCCAGCTACCCCAAGGGCAGTCCACATGCACCGGCTCCCGGGCCTGCAAGAGGCCCTAGCCAGATGCTCCTCGGAGTGTGAAGGGTGTAGCGATCAGCAGGTTCCCTGTTACTAACTTGCGGGGAGAGAAGTGGGGGTGTGTGGGGGAAGACAGTGCCTGGGATTCTGCATTTCTAACAAGTCCCAGGTGGTGCGAGCCCCTGGACCACTCGGAGCAGCGGCCCTGGAGATGATCTGCCTGTAGACGGGTGATAAAGCGGCATGCTCAGAGAGGTCAAGTCTCTTGTCCAGGGCCACACAGCGAGCAGTCGCAAACCGAAGGCAGAGGCCACCTGCTTTAGACACTTCCCCCTTGGAGGCAGCGGGGTTCACTGCAGCTCCCGGGCCGTGCAAGCTCGGCTGCCCAGCGCTGCTCAGCCGGGGCCGGGGCGGAGCGGAGCGGAGAGCGCTCCCGGGCAGAGTCCTCCGGTGTCGGTGCCCGCGTCCCCCGGTCCCCCGCCGGGTCCCCAGCCAACCCAGGGCGCCGGTCTGCCGGGGCGGAGCAGTTCCGCACCCCTCCCCTCCCGAGACAAACTTCGCGCGCTCCCCTTACCTTTTTAGGGGGCTTGCAGCAGCTCAGCCGGCTGCGTCCGCTGCCCATCCTCTTCTGGGGGCTCCCGGAGGAGGGGGGAGTCCCAATTCCCGGGCTCCCCAGAGGGCCCTGCGCTCCGGGCCCCGCTGCCCGCTCCGCGCCCGCCGGCTGGGGCGGCCGGCTAGACCCTGAAACTGAACCTGGAAGCGCAGACTTGAGCTGGAGCCGCGGCCGCCGTAAATACCCGAAGAGCAGGGCCTCGGCCAAGTCCGCTGGGCTGGCGGCCGCAGGTGACCAGGGTCTTTCCACCCAGAGCAGAAAAGAGCTGCACGAGGCTCTCAGCTGAGAGAACAGAGGGAAGATAATGAAAGCCAGTGTTTGGTAAACCTTCCACTCGTTGAGGGCTGTTTTACATGTATTATTTCTTACCAGATCCTTACAGCAAAGATTTTATTCCCTCTATTTTACAGGTGAGGAAAATGAGGCTCAGAGATGTGAAGTGATTAGCCTAACGTAACAAAAAGTAGTAGTACCGGGCCCAGGTAGAACCGTCTCCAGCACCTAAGATTTGAAGTCCTACAAATAAATAATAATGCTGAGTTTCACTGTAACGCTCGCTCACTGCTGGGGCAACCGCTTTCCCCAGCTCACCAGCATCTGTAACATTCTACTCTGTCCATCACAGATCGATGCCACCCATCACCACAGTCTTGCAGAGGCAGACAAGTGGGGAAGCCTGGGAACGAGGGACGTGACCGCAGTGTCGCGGAAAAGGAACTTTTATCTCATCTTACTTTGCTACTAGCTGAGGTTTCTGGCGGTGGCAATGCAGGAAAAAGATATTAGTTTTGAAAAATCGGGTATCTCTGTGTGTATTACAGTCAGGCCCTCACACTTGGAAAGAAGTGTTGATGAAAGAGTCATGAATGGAGAAACATGAGTTCCTAAAAGTCACTCCCGTTCCACTGAATGTAAGACAAATCGCAGACAGTTCTAAGAAGGGAAACGAAGGAAACAGCTGGTTTTAGGCTCTTAAAAAGAAGATTGATAGAAGACGGGTGGTTTACAAAGTGGGGCTCCACAGCAACAGCGCCAAAACTACCAGGAAACTGTGCTAGAAATGCAAATGTCAGACCTGGCCGCAGACCTTCAGCTCCCAAACTCTGGGGTCAGGGCTCAGGTGGCCATAGTCAGCCAGCCCTCCAGGTGATTCTGCCCAGACTAAAGTGTGAGAAAAGTAGGTAATGGGGAAAGGGTGCCTGCTTAAATTAACAATGTCGGTTGATGGCTTAAGACAATCAAAACCCAAACAATCCAAATATCCAAGAAAAGAAGCTTGCTTAAATAAATTATGATATATCCATAAATGATACCCCAGGCGCACGCATGCGCGTGCACACACCAGTGAAAACAGTGATGAGGGATGCGAGGTGTGACTCAAGTGATAGAGTGCTTGCTTTGCAAGCATGAAGCCCTGAGTTCAAACACCAGTCCCACCAAAAGAATACTGATGAGGATGGATTTTTTTAATGTTGCAAAATGTAACAAATTCATTTTTACTTAAAAAAAAAGTAAGGCTAGGATGTGGCTCAAGTATAGAATGCCTACCTAGCAAACACAAGGTCCTGAGTTCAAACCCCAGTATCTCCCATGTGCATATATAAACTGGGTGTGGTGGTGCATGCCTGTAATCCCAGCACTCAGGAGGCTGAGGGTTGGGAGTTAAAGGATAGCCTGTGGTACATAGTAAATTTTAGGACAACCTAGGTTACATAGACTGGTCTCAAAAAACCAAGGGCTGGGGGTGCAGCTCAGTGATAGAGCACTAGCCTAGTATATACAAGGCCCTGTGTTTGATCCCCTAACTCCTTAAAAAAAAAAAAAGAAAATTAAAAGTTTCAGTGGTGGTTATCCTTGGTGGGTAAGATTTTAGATTTGAAAAACTATTCCTTATTTTCTCATTAAAATGAGTATGCATCTATTACTACTGTCATATGGATCGTGATTGTGACTTAACTAGGTGGAAAAAAACACATATAGGGCAAAGATGGAGGGTGACGGGGAGGTGAATTATTGAAGCATGTCATACACATGTATGAAAAAAGAATAGTGAAACCTGTTTTAAAGGGGGTGTAGGGGGATGAGAAAGAGTAATAGAGGAGTAAATTTGATCAAAGTACATTATATGCATATATGGAAATATCACAATGAAACTCCTTTGTACCAAAAATATACTTTTTAATTAAAAAAGGGCAGAGCTGGCTAAATAGCACGGATGAGACTGCAAGCAGTCATGTGATCAGTTGTTTCTATCTGAGAGTGTACCATCTGCACAGTTGAAGAGCTGAACTTTCTGAAATGGATCTTGAATTTTAATGTCAACAATAGGGTAGGAAGTAGGCAGGCAAGCTCTGCTCTGGAGTCTCTCAGCTCAGGAGCTCTTGCCTTTGGCCTCTCTGAACTTCCTGGAAGAGCAGGCTCAGATTTCCCACTTTCCTACTGCTGGCAGTTTTGATTATGCGCTTTGAAGTGTCTGTCTGAGAAAAAAACTTGAGGGTTTTTTTGTTTGTTTGTTTTGTTTTGCTTGCTTGTTTATTCATCTGGGTTTTTTTGTTGTTTTGTTTTAGCAGCTTGAGTTTGAGAAAGTTGCCAGTGAGATTCTTGATAGTTAGTGTGCCAGTCAGGTTAGGTTAGGTTTTGCTGCAATGACAAAAAAACTTTAAAAAAATCAGTGACTTAACACAACAGAAGCCAAGGTATTGCTCACACTATATGTCTAGCATGTGCAGCGGTTTCTACTTTGTAGACATCCCAAGATACCCTAGAATGCAGTCATCTCAACATGGTGGCTTCAGAAATTGTCAGGGTTGTGCAGAGAATAGTGTAAGAGGTCTTACAAGCTTCAACTCAGAAGTGACATGCACATTGCCTAGAATGTGTGAAGTCCTGGGTTCAATCTCCAGTACACACACCAAGTTCACTCACATTGGACAAAGCAAGTCGCACAGTCATGCCCAACTTCAGAGATGGGACTTGCAATGAGTGCTCAGAGGAGAGGAAAATGGCTTAATGTCTACCACAGGTAGCAACCAACAAGCAGGTACTGATTACCATGTGCTCTACCACCGAGCTACATCTTCAGCCCTACAATCTATGGGGATTTTGTTTGGGTGTTTTGTTGTTGTTGTTGTTGTTGTTACTGGGGTTTGAATTCAGGGCTAGGCAGGCGTTCTATCACTTGAGCCACTCCTCCAGCCCTGTTTTTGATATTAGACCCACACATAAGCAAAGAAGAGTTGCCAGGTGCTAGTGGCTTGTGCCTATAGTCCTAGCTACTCAGGAGGCAGAATCAGGAGGATGGAAGTTCCAGGCCAGCCCTGGGCAAATAGTTTCTGAGACCCTATCTTGAAAATACCCAACACAAAAAGAGTTGGCAAAGTGGCTCAAGTGGTAGAAGTGTGAGGTGATTGAGTTCAAACCCCAGCGAGAGAGAGAGAGAGAGAGAGAGAGAGAGAGAAAGAGAGAGAGAGAGAGAGAGAGAAATTACACAAAACAGGTTATGAAGCTACTGCCATGCAGAAGGTATTAGCATTAAAAAGAGATAATGAGCTAGGCATGGTGGCTAACATCTATAATCCTAGCTACTTGGGAGGCTGAGATCAGGAGGACCATGGCATGAGGCCAGCCAGGCAAATAGTTTGAGAGACCCCCATGTCCAAAATGGAGCAAAAATGGATTGGAGGCATGGCTCAAGCAGCAGAGTGCCTGCCTAGCAAGTATGGACCCCTGAGTTCAAAACCCATACTACCAAAACAAAACAAAACAAAACAAAAGAGCAAGAGAGACCAAGTTGAATGGAGATGATCGGGGGGACTTCCTGGAGGAATACTAAAGCCAAAGGACATTCATGCCAAAGGAATTATAGAATCTTGGGCTGGGATGGAATTGGATGACTGGTCTCTGTTGTCTGCAACTGAGAACACTGACTAATCCAAATCTCTTTGCCTCACTTCCCTTCAGGTACTTATGCAGCCTGTGTTCAGACCTCCCAGTAATGGGGAAATCACTACCTATCTTCCCATATCTAGGGGGAAGAGGACAGCAGGGAGGAGTAATTATGAGGGGGAGACAAAGCATGAGTCAAGTGAGGGCAGGGGTAGAGGGTGGAGAGGTGGACAAGGGGGGATTTGTGTTGTCAAGGTTGGGTACAACGGGGAAAGATGTAAAGGCGAAAGAACAACACAGGGTCCTGAACGTCTCTTGTGAGAAAAACCCAGGGAATCTGCTCACATAGAGGTTTTGCATAGACCTCCTGGCAGGTGAGGGACCTGCAGCCATCAGTGGGTCTGGGTTCTAGTCCCTGGCCAAGAGCCTCTCTGCTTAGTGGTCACTAATGGTTGTTCTACCCTGTAAGCTTTCAATGTGCAGATTCTTCTCACTGAGCCCAAACATGTCTTCGGCCTGAGTG